GGAATAAGGGCTTCCTTGGCAAGCGCAAGGGCCTGAGTTCAATCCCCAGTTCCACCAAAAAATAAAATAAAATAAAATAAAAATTAAAAAAAAAAAAGTGTATGGATTGGGATAATACAGTTGCAAAATAAACGCAACACTGGAAAATAAAATACATGACTATAGGACTGCAGGACCAGAGTGGTGAAGGTTTTCAACTCCTCTTACATTTTGGATCAAGGATGGGGAGAAGAGAAAAGTGATTTTGAAAAAACTCACTTTTGCCCCTGGCTGTTTGTGGCCTATGATGTGCCTCGGGGTGTGGATTGCTAAATTAGCCCCCAAGCAAACATGGTGAAGTTACCTCCTCTAACAAGGTCAGGCAAGGTGTGAGGGTTGGGGATTTTGAAAAGGACAGTCACTGCATGGCCAAGGTTCTGGGGAATCCACAGCCTGAGAGCCTTATTAGGGTCATGATGTTGGCAGCGGCCACAAGGTAGGTGGAAGGACAGTCCAAGTAGCCAGAGTGAGAGGGCCTCTGAGGGCAGCTCTGCCAGGAAGTCTCCTCCCAGGCTAACCACCCACAACCCAAACAGAGCCACCCTGTGACAACAGGCTCCCTTGACAAGAAGGAAACTGGGAAAATATTTTCCACTTGCCTCTGCAAGATGGCATCTGCAGGCAGGGTGGAGCCCAGGCTGCACCCTTCCCCCTCCCCAGGGTTCTCCTATCTGGTGACTCTCATGTGACTGATGACACAAGTCAAGTATGTGGCAAGCCCAAACTTGTTCAACTTGTGGGTCTCAGCCAAGCTCTTCCGCCACACAGCTCACCTTTCCCCAAGATCTGCTCCATCAGTTTTGTTTGGGCAACATTTCCACTGATGCGTAATTTGGCCTGAAAGAACAGTGAGGAAAAAGGGAATTTTCATGAATGTTCTAAAATGCTGGGAGGTGTTTATGAAACCAAGTGAGTAAAGCTTCCAGGTATTTCACAGTACCACTCCTTAGGAGTTAGCCCCTTGGGCAGCCAAATAGCTCAGTGGATTAAAGCTCCAGCAAGC